ACAGTCTATGGTACAAAACTTGTTTTCTTTTGAAAGTTAGTGGGTGCGGCTTATATTCAGGTGCCTCAATAGTCCGGAATTTACGGTAGTAATCAAATAAAACTAACTAATGGCAGCAGCTTCGTTGCTATTTCCACAACTCAAGTTACACAATCTCAGCTCCTCTCAACAACAGATCTGTATTTTCTGAGAAGAAAAAAACAACAACAAGTGTTTCTTTCCCGGCAGCAGCTTCTGACGTCACCAGTTGTTAATCGTATTGTTGCGTCTGTATTGTTGTGTCTAAAGAGCAGAGAAGACAAACGGCGGCGGATGATGGATGCCACGAGCGTCTCTCCACAAGACCAAACACACCTGCTTCCACTACGTCTCTGTCTGCTTTCCATCTGTCCGACTGTCTGTCCGCTTCATCCTCTTCCTTTATTTGATTCACTCATCGGTCTCGTAATTCGATTGCAGGCACCTGCAGGAATCCGAGAACGAACGCATGTCGAGGCGCACAGACGCGCAGATGGCCTTCAGCAGCGATTAGCGTGTTTTGTGCTGTTTGAGGGACAATAAAAGGTAAATACAACTAATCTGGAAGAGGTAATCACGCGATGAAACACCTTATTTCCAGTATTGTCACTGATTACCTCTGAAGGATGGTTCAGATTGATTTGGATGCTGATATTCTGAAGGAGTGATGCCATTTTCTACAGATACTAGACACCGACATGTGGAGTTAAGAGCAAGCTGCGAGTCCACTGCAGCTTTTGGAAATAAAAGAAAACTAAATAAATTTCAGCATTCAGGGTGAGTGAGTTTCACATCTTCACTTAATATTAATAATTTATTGTCAGATGTTGTTAAAATCCTGACACGATGCTGTCGGGGGGAATTCATACACAAATTTGTTTTTAGGCTAACGTAGCGATAGCTTATAGCATCACATAGCACACTACCCTCATGACACGGACTCATCACCTTCATTATACTAAATAAAACCAGCCTTAGATTTACAATCACAAACTTTCCTCCAAACTTTCTGGAGTTGCTCCTGACTTCAGAGATGTATTTAAAACTCCGTTAATCAATCACCACTGGCAGCGACGCTTGGATCGGATGAAGTTCATCTTCCAAAATATAAATTAGACGCCATCGACTTTGCATCTCTGATTGCTGGGAGTGGAAAGATGGAACACTGTCCCAACGCTGGATTGGAAGATCTGGTGCAGGTTTTTTTTTTTTTTTGCAAATGGAGATCCAGTCTAATGGGATCCACCGATAAAATCTATAAGTTAAGAGCTGCAAACTGTATTTAACTGCATAAACTGAGGATGACTGTGTCTGAATAAAGTGTCTGCAATAAAGTTTGTTTTATATAACCTTCTTTAATGCATTTATTTGTTTTTTTTCCTCCTTTTTCTGGTTGTTTTATGTATTTATTATTCATTTTATTATATTGAATTAGTTGTTCTCGCTTGACAAAGTGATGAGAGGGTAATGGAATTGGGTTTTTTCTTTTGTTGGGTCACTTTTACATCACTTGTGCACGCTGGATGGATAAATTATGTTTTTGTGACACAGTTTCGGTGAAAAAAAAACTCCCTACGTATTGATTTTGGTATTGAGAGTTTTCAATGATGCCGTTATTGCCGATTGCGTTTATGGTGTTGTAGCATCCTCATGTCAAATTGCATCA